CACAATCTAAAGAATCACAACCTCCGGCCGCTCCATTACGCAACAACACGGTGACACTCATTCTCGCTTCGTCTCTCTCATATACCCATCTGCACTTTTTCACACAGACACTCACCACACTAAATCTCTACAACAATCAAATCGGAGACGAAGGAGCACAACATCTGGCTGATGCAGTACGCAACAACACGGTGACCTTCATTCTCTCTTCATCTCTCATATACCCATCTGCACTTTTTCACAGAGACACTCACCACACTAGATGTCTACAGCAATCAAATCGGAGACAAACTTAATACTCGTTTGGTCGAATCGATAAAACGAAATAATCAATGAAAAACATAGTGAACATTGGTTTGAAAGATGCCTTATTGAAGAACTAAAATTTTCAATTGTATTTGTGTTTTTTTTCAAGCTGTATTTTATCTCAAAATGGGAATAAAATGTCTTGATTTTCTTGAACTGGAAGCCGGAAGACATTGGACGTTATTGTTTTTGTTGATTCTTGTTTTTTGAATGACTTGAGTGGAAAAATACAGTGTGTGTTTCAATTCTTTAAGGTTAGTTTGTATCAGTGAAGCTAAATTTCAAGATATTGATATGGTTTTCAGAGTGTGTGTGAAATTTTTGTTTTGTGCTTTTGAAAATTATGATAGTATAAGTATTGAATTTAAATTCAGTCTTATCTATTTTGAATACGTGTAGTGCTGGCCTGAAGATTTTCATAGGTTAGTTGACACCCGGTGAATAGTGTTTTCAAAATGAATCAAGCGGACGATTTCAAGCTTTGATTAAATTAGCAGAAAATCGTAGTAATTCATTTTTAGAATTCTACTGCTGTGATTGTAATTTCTCTTGTATCTCGCAAATAAAAAACTGTTACTTCTTTTGAGACAAATGATTGGTTGAAATACAGGTCACTATTGCAATAACTAATATGAACTTTTTGTTTCATAATCCGTCACGCCTGATGTATGTTAATCAATGAGCAACAACGATAATATTTTTTCACTGAATTGAAGATTTTTGTTTTTTTTTGTAGTCTTATTTTAAGGCATTATTTAATATATTTGCTAGAAAGGCAGCAGTTTGTATTTAGTTGTCTTGAAAGGTACACAAGTTTGCTGTTGAGACAGACTTGATTTTCTTGCAGAATTACTTTTACTACGATCTGAGCTTTTATTTAAAGGACTAGGGCCGATAAGGCTATTTTTCTGCCCCCAACAAAATTGACTTTTTTTTATCGATTCACAGTCAGACATGATGCCTGATGATATTTCAGGAGTCAGATTTTGAAAAACTGGCCAAAAGGTTTTTGGGACCTGGGGTCCCCCACAGGGATCTCTGGGAAACTTTTTATCCTTGGTTTCGTTGAAATGTATGTTTGTTGATAGAGTCCAATGTCCTGATTTAGAATATCAGTATATGAAGTCCTTAAAGGCTTTTAAAAGGCGAGAAGCGCAATCCTTTTGCAAGTACTCCTTAAGCTCAAGATTCAGTTTTCAGGCTATGTATCTTCTATAAAGATAAATCTAGCATCATGAAAAACTATTAGTAATAACTAAATCAAGGTTGTTTACTCGAATAAAAAGTATAAAAGTTCCTTAACCACATGATCAGGTATAAAAATTTGGATTACTGGCCCGAAATCCATTTTTTTGCATTCTGTAATGAAAATGGGAGTTTTAAAGTCCCATCATAGAAGACTAGAAGCAATATGAAATTTGGTTTCAGTACGTTATTTTCAATGCTCTATCCTATGATGAACTCAAACAGCCAGAAAAAACGGTTCTTCGTAGTTTTTGAGGGTTTTCTGGAAAACCTGTCCAAAATCTGAGAAGTTTCGGTAGAAACAAAGTTCACCATCGTGTTCAGCATATCAAATAACCTACTCTCGAAAGTTCTGGGTGCGGGTGTGGGTGTGGGTGTGGGTGTGGGTGTGGGTGTGGGTGTGGGTGTGGGTGCGGGTGTGGGTGTGGGTGCGGGTGTGGGTGTGGGTGTGGGTGTGTGCATGTGGGTGTGGTGTGGGTGTGGGTTAATACAAAAGTTGTACCAAGGCCACAGTCACAGCCACAGCCACCCACATCCACACCCATCCACACCCACCCACACCCACCCACACCCACACCCACACCTTCACCCTCACCCACACGCACTCCCACACCCATACCCACCCACACCCACACACCACACCCACACCCTAGGTATTAGTTTTAATTTTTGTTTAATTTTTGTTTTGGGTCATATGAAGGGTGGTAATGGTAAGTCCTTCCTGTATTTTTTTTCAAATTTTAGTCATTTAACAGTGAAGAAAAAGTTAACACGGGGTAAGTCATTCTTCTCTTGTCTGTACATATGTGATTAATTAATTGTTTTTTCCTTTTAGACGTCATCGTTCAATATCAAACAGGGTGAGTAATTGTTTTTTTTTTTAGTATGAGAATAGGGTGAGCTCTGTCCATTTAAGTTAGGTTCGCGTTATATGAATGACTTCCGGGTAGATCCTAAAAGCCCGGCCAGGAACTGCTTTGGTGTCCGTGGCACATGACCGGGCCCCCAGACTCACTGATACATGACATCGGATGGGTATATGTGGATGACGTAGGTCTTCCCGTGCTTGCATGAGCTTTACGGTCACTACGGCTCCACCAGGGTAGTTTCTGGTCGCGCACGCGAATATAATACGCATTACTTTGATGAATTCAGCGTGAATTTATTTTAAATGAAAAAAATCCATCGTGGTGAGTTCATTCGATTGAAAATCGTTGAACACGATTATTGTTCAGATCGACGACATAGAGATTACCTTGTCGATCGAAGAACAAACCACGGAGACGGTTGAACTGATTTTCACCTTCTCCTTCACCATTTCCACCCACAATGACAGTGCCTTGTTTCGCTCCTTTAGGCCAACTCATCACTCGATGATTCACCGAGTCTGCCACATAGATGGTACCCAACGTATCGACGAACAGTCTGTAAGGATACCACAATTGTGTCAGAGCATTTCCTTCGCCTTGACCTCCAGCAACGACAATTCCTTCTTTTACACCTTTATCCCATTTCATCACACGATGATTCTCGTTGTCTGACACATAGACAGTCTGTTGTTGATCGACAAAGATGTAACACGGAAAGTTGAGTTGATTGAGACCAGCACCTTTGCCATTGCCACCAGCTACGAGAGTTCCATTCTTGTCTCCTATTTGATATCGTTTTACTTCATGTTTTTCGAAGTCAGAGATGTAGAGATATCTCTGATCATCCATGGCCAATCCCCAGCAACGAATGTTGTCGATGAGGATTTCTCCTTGAGTTGTACCACTGCGACGAGACCATCGTACGACTCGTCGATTTCCTTGATCACAAATAATGAGACTATCAGTCTCTTTGTCAATCAGCACATCGGTTGGACAATTCAATTGATCCAATCGCTCTCCTGCGGCATTGCCACCAGCTACGACTTGTCCAGTCGTATCACCCATCTTCCATTGGACGATACGATAATTGTAGCATTCAGCGATGACAATAGTTTGATCATCATCAACGAAGAGACCTAGAGGGTGATAGAGTTGATTGGTGGCATTGCCTTCTCCATGGCCTCCAGCAACGGTCACACCATTCTGTACCCATCGGGCATAGGCTGGAATATTGGGAATTACTACAATGAATGAGAAAAAGAATCGTTCTGGTCGTTATCTAGGAATAATAAATTCTTCTTCGAAGGGGACTTGATAAAGCTTTCGAGAATGTCTTTCTCTAACATGCTCTAAAAAAGCGAAAGGTTCTCCTAGTTTCATATGCAACAAAAAAAGAACTTGGTGACAATTCTTATGAGAATCCTTTTGAAATTCATGGAAAGAACTATTTTTTCGAGAAGAAACATTTCTGAAATACTGAGAAGATTCGATCTGGAACGTATAGGAACTTGTTGTAGGAGTTAACATTCTTAAAATTGTTGAGAAGTCTAATGCTAATAGTATGTTACCTATCGATTAAAAAACATAGAGATTTGAGTCATAGTTCCAGCATTTTAATAAGGATTTTATAAGGAGAAGGCCAAAACTAAAGGATTTCAGGATGCTTTTCATTTGCTGTTTGATGACTCCATAATAAAACGTAATTTGAAAATTACGGAAAAAAGATCATTTTTTTTTGTTTCTGATAGATCCGCAGTTCAATTCTCAACAAATTCAAACTGTAATACAGCATTTTTATGAACAAGACGATCAACATTTTACATTTAGGAGTATTAAAGAACCAGCTGCCTGCGGGGGATATTTCGATATCCACAGGGTTTCTTCACTACATCGTAGTGTTGGGAGGCGCTCCTGGGCTGCCGGTAACCAAATCATCTTGTTTTTAGTCCAGCCACATACCAACAGGACTTTAAAACTTACTGGCTACAGAGAAGGATCAGAAAAAGTGCATCAGCGCACTCAAAACGACTTTTCGTTCGTGCTTTCAACAAACGAAGAGAGAGGTAATTATTAAACAGTTTCAGAAACATCGAATTCAGATTGCGGCGTTAAATGAAACATCAATGTACGACTCTGGTGTTATTACAAGCAACGGTTCTTCTATGATTTACTCTGTATAACCTGATCGTGGCGAATAATACGTTTTATCAACATAAAACTACACACCAACTCTCTTGGAGACAACCGGGACACAAAAAATGGCACATGTTAGATTATACACTTGTTAATAAAAAATTTCGTTGAAGTGTGGAAGATGTCCGAGTACACAGAACTGCTGCTGGCGCCATTGGTAGTGATCATCATCTTATAAGAACAAAATTGAAACTTAATCTGAGAAGTCGGAAGAACTCTAATAAACCACAACATCGCCAATTGGATAGTAATAAAATAAAAGATGGTACTTTGAGGAAGAAATTTCAAGAAGGAATATCAAACAAAAAGATGGAAAATAGTAATCAAAAGAAAACGATTAATGAAAAATATGATGAATTTACTGATTATGTCAAGACTCTAAGTGGTAAGATATTCAGTCAAGAAAACAATAGTGCAAGTAAGTCAAATCATCGGTATGTCCTTAGATATCAAAAAAGAGAGAAAGGATGTTTTTGCAGAATATATAAATGAAATGTTTTTTTTATTCGGGTGTGATTCGTAATATTGTTTTTTTTGTTGATTTGATTTTTTCCCGTGACAATCGAAATAAAGTAAAAAGGGATTTAACAGAGCAATGGATGGTGAAATAACAATCGTGCACTAGCCGTTCTACTGTACCACTGAGCAGTTGATCGACCCGATACAATTGAGTTTTCTTCTTACATCAATAATTTATGCTTACCGATGAACTTGCTCGAGCTCAAGTCCGCTCTCGTTCTCAACTCACGTCATCATATCATACATCATCTACCACTCAATCCGATAATTTGTACTCTATTTACGCCATGGCAGATTCTCAATACAGTAAACTCATCGATAGTATTCCAACTTTCTCCGGAAACCCACACGAAAATATAAATCAATGGTTGGGTATCGTATCTCTAAAATTTTACATTATTGGATATGATTCTCGTCAAAAATGTCGATTTATACCACAATATCTAACTGGGAGTGCTTTACAGTGGTATCTCGCACATTGTAGTGAGCTTTCCTCTTGGGATAAGGAGCTTGCTGCAATTACCTCTGCTTTTCCAGATCTGATTACTACTTCTCGTGATATGAATCTGAAACTATTGCGAGATCGAAAACAAGCTGACACGGAACCGTTTATTGATTATTACACTTCTATTATTGACCTTTGTCGTAAACATGCTCATAATATGCCTGATATTCAAATTGATCGATTGGCTAAAAGCTGGGATGAAAATTACATTGTATGAAAAATTACAAGGTGAAGAATTTGATACACCTCAAGCTTTACTTCTTCAAGCTCACCATGTCGAACTTGACAATGCAGTTCTTGATGCTTGAAAAGTTGAATGTGCAATTAATCTATCAGTTCTTTCACCTTCAGCATATATTCTTTCTACCCCTTTTCAACCATGGAATCCACCATCTCATGCATCACTTTCTTCAACATCTTATGTTACCTCATCATATCCACCCTCATTATATATCACCTGTTCTTGCTGTTCCTGTCACCCCTTTCTCTACTACGAATGATGCTCGATATAAAGTTTCTCCTCAGTCTTCATATAATTCCTATCGGCCTTCATATAATAATCGTTCTACGAGTCACCGCCATTCTATTATTTGCTATTCTTGCTATCAACAAAGTCACATATCACCTCATTGTCCGTATCGCCCAAAAGAATAAAGGAGGAACAAGATGGTCGATACTGGAGCTACACATAGTCTTATTGCTCGTTCTACTCTAAACACTTTTTCACACCCTCCCATACAAAAAACGTCTGCTACTACCGCTGTACTTGGAGATGCTTCCACCACTATTGCTGTTCATGGTCTCGTTCATTTGTGCATCTACATAAATCGCGTTCCTGCATATGCTTCTGTCTTCGTCGTTGATTCTTTAGGAGTTGATTTTATTCTTGGTATGAACTGGTGTTTTAATAATGACGTTCTATTACGCGTTCGTGAGAAAAAGATTCTTGTTCGTCATCCTCTTTACGGAACCACTACAGTTCGCTTTTTGGACTCAATTTCTATTCCGACTTGTCTAGCTCAAACAATTCAACTCATTCCTCACAATGAATATATTGTACGTACATTTACACCTTTATCATGTGCTTCTTGCATAGTTTATATCCCTGATGAGTTTTTATGCCGTCGAAAGAAAATTTATGTTCCGGAAGTTCTTATAAACATAAATTGTTTTCAATCTTATCTATTGATTCACAATGCTGCAAGTACACCCTGTACTTTACGTCAAGGTACTGTTCTTGGCAGCCTTCATTTTTGTTAACACACTCCCTGCACCAGTAAACATTACTTCTTTTCTGCCATCGATATCATTATTATCTTCTGATACTTCTTTAATATCATTATCGTCAATGCAACCGATTTCTATTAGTACTGCACCTGCTATCGATTCCATCCTTCGACATTTAATGCATCATATCATCGATGAACAGGAGAAGCGTGATTTTTTTTTATATTGTTACTCGTCACGGTCGAGTATTCGATGTATCTAAACCTACAATAGCCAAAACTCAACTTCCTCATGTCATCATCAGCGGCGATCATCCACCAATTAGTGTCCGTCCCTACTATCGTACCATTGAACAACGTAAAGAACTGCAACACGAAGTCGATAAACTTCTGATGGATAATATCATCCGCCCATCTACATCCCCATGGTCCTCTCCAGTTATCTTAAAAAAGAAGCCTGATGGTACCTATCGGTTTTTGGTTGACTTACGTCGTTTAAATTCTATGACAAGAAAAGACGCTTATCCGCAACCCTCTGCCGAAGAATTAATTTATCGTCTGTCTGAACATATTTATTTTACTAAACTTGATCTAAAAAGTGGATATTTTCAAATTCCTATTGTCGAATCAGATAAGGAAAAAACAGCATTTGTAACTTCCGATGGACATTATGAATTTAATGTTCTTGCTCAAGGTCTTATGAATGCTCCGGCAAGTTTTCAACGTGTTATGAATAATTTGCTTGCCACGGGTCGTTGGAACTATGTGGTGATTTATCTCGATGACATCGTTATTTTTTCCTATTCACTCGAAGAACATAAACGTCATGTCCATGAGATATTGTCCATCCTTGATGCTGCTCACTTCAAGGTTTCACCTCCAAAATGTACTATTACAGGTCAGCAGATCGAATTTCTAGGTCATATCATCACTGCTGCTACTGTCAAACCATCTTCGGAAAAAATACACGCAATTCTGGATATTCCAGCGCCTCGTACTCTATCACAAGCGAATCGCTTTTTTGGTAAAATGGGATACTATCGAAAGCTTATCCCGAATTTCGCTCGTATTGCGACTCCCCTGCATAATGTTACCAACGAAACACATACCAAACGGCATGAATTTTACTGGCACGCTGAACAACAAGCAGCTTTTGACCAATTTAAAATGATCTTGACGACTTCTTCCCTCTTTCTCCATTTCCCTGATCCTTCAGTACCATTTATTCTTTCTACTGATGCTAGTCTTATTCGTATTACTAGTGTTCTCAAACAGCAAACGTCTACCGGTCTTAAAGTCTGCCATTATAAATTTTGTTTATTGTCCGACATCGAGCGTCGATATTCTGCCACTGAACGCGAAGCACTTGCTATATATTGGTGTCTCGATCAATTACGCCCTGATATCGCTAGTTCTTCTGTTCTAATTGAAACCGATCATGCGCCACTTTCCAACATGCATAAAAAAATACGTTTCGTAATAAACGCATTGATTATTGGCTTCTCAAATTACAGGATATTCTACCTCAGATTATCGCGATCAAATATTGTAAGGGTATTGACAATGTCTGACCGGACTTTTTAACTCGGTATGATCCATTAGATTCTTCTTCGTCTAATCTTGAACTTCCCTCACTCTCTGTTAACGATTCGTCCCTTGCTGTTTCTCATGCTTCTGCTCCTCTACCTCAACGTATATCTATCACTAATTCTTTCTCACCGGACATTGATTGGCCATGCGGTTCAGCAACATGGGATCCCTCCCGAAATCTCTTATTTCCTTAGGACTTCATACATATCATGACCATTCTCTGAGTGGGCATTTTGGTGTTCATCGTACATTAGCACGAATTCGTTCCCGATTTTGGTGGCCTAATATGCGTCGGTCAGTGCAAAATTATGTCGCATCTTGTATGAAATGTGCTCAACATAATATTGCTCGTAACAAACCCCATGGCCACCTTAAATCTATTTCCCCTCCATCTGCAGTATTTCAAGTTATTCATATGGATTTTTGGGGTCCTGTTCGAGTACCTTCCTCTAATGGCAATCATTATGTTATTGTTCTCACGGATAATTTATTTAAGTATGTTATTACTGACGCGCTACCTGATTGTACTGCAAAATCCGCTGCTCAATTTCTCATTGATAAATTATTCTTATTCACGGTGTACCTGAACTTCTGATCACTGATAATGGTACTGATTTTAATAACCATCTTTTTTGTCGCTCAGGTTGCAAAGTATTGTGACCGAATCGAAATGATTGGGATATTTATCTTCCTTCGGTAGTATATGAGCATAACACTAGTGTTCACTCCACCACTAAACTGACATCTTACCAACTCGCTTTCAGTCGTTGTCCTAAAAGTCCCTTCGATGGTGTTTCTCCTACTATCGCTCTACCTCCTGCTCATACCTTTTACCCCTATGTAGAACGCACTCGCCGTCTTCTCGCAGATCGAGCACGAACCAATATTCTAAAATCTCAATCTTGTTGGCAAAAACGATTCAATGAAAATTGTCGTAACATACAATATCGTGTTAATGATCTTGTTTATGTCCAAGTTTGCGCTGACCGTGCTAAGCTTGATGCTCGTTGGCTTGGACCATGTATTATAATTAAAACTGATGGTCAACAGAATTATCTCGTTCGTGATGATCTTACAGGGAGAACTGACTGGTAGTATGTCAACCAAGTACATCCCGTAGTTCAACGTCATTCATACTAAAACTGTCTTTCTTTTCTCTCAGTATTTTCGTAACTCATTTTCTATGGCTTCAATTTCATCGAGGTCAAGCACGAGTAGTGGCAGCTCGCATGCCTCTCATATCCATCTGGTTTCTGAAAAATTCTGTCTATTTCCGCGCATCTAGTTAATACTTGTTTCGATACTTATAAGTTTTCTTGAGCATTCCGTTACCTGGGCCGTATTTCTCTGGGTCTGGCTCACTTGGCCGACATTCACTTGGCCGACACATCACTTGACCGACACCACTTAACCGACAGATTGTTTGGCCGACAGGTACACTTGGCCGACAATTTATTTTGCCGACAAAAATTTATTATTACGATATAAAAGCTAATTTATTT